TCACGACCACGAGCAGCAAGGAGTGCTGCTGCCAGCAAGTGGTCGGGGACCGGACGACACAGCAGGAGGATTTTCTCGGAGGAGTAGCACACATCGACCAGGACAACGGTACGACCAGTGTCAAGGTGGGGAGGCCAGGGTCACCATCCCTACGAACGCGGAGGGGGGTTAAGAACGTTCTTAAGTCGTTCTTAGCCCAGCCAAATTGATAAAATCGAATAATCAGTAGAACGTTCTTACATCGTTCTAAGAACGTTCTAAGAACGTTCGTATGACCTCCGTTTATCTTAAAACCGTTCTTTCAAATTCTTTAGCATTCTTCAGGTCCCAGCAGTCTTATGTATTCTCTTCCATGCTTTGGGGTGTTCTTATACGTACTTAGTGATTCTTTCTCTAAAGCATACTTAGCTTCTCTCTGGCCGGTTTTAACCATTCTTACCATAGGTTTGCTAAGTATGGCACCCATTCTTAAGTCTCATTCTTAAGAAATAAAACCACTCTTTACCATTCTCTACGATTCTTTACCATTCTTTAGGGTCAGCAGTCTTATGTATTCTTTTCGTTCTTTGGGTGTTCTTATACATTCTTAGGCCAACTTATTGATTCTTTGCCTAAAGCATACTTAGCTGCTCTTTGGCGGGTTTTAACCATTCTTACCATAGGGTTTGCTAAGTATGGCACCCATTCTTAAGTCTCATTCTTATGAAATAAAACCACTATTTTACCATTCTTTAGCATTCTTTCGGGCCAGCAGCCATCTGTATTCTCTTACATTCTTAGGGGTGTTCTTTTACATTCTTAGGCCAAATTATTAATTCTTTGATAAATAGGTGCATCCAGATTGTCATCGGAAAATTATATTGCCATGTAGCATGGAATGACATCATTTAACGAACAGCATGATATATAATCAATCGTTACATTTGGAATGACATGTATAAAATCTCAGTTGTGGGTATCAACCGTTTCCACATTTGTAACACAACCCCTTATACATTATGTGTGGGACAGGCGGGCATATCTACACCGGTGGTCGCTACCAGGTGAAACTCTGTCTACCTGTAGCAGCCGGTACACAGTACGGCGCTATAAATACGCGCAGAGCGCGACCGCCAGCAACTCGAGTGACCTTTTCAGCGGTCAGCTGCTACATTTTGGTATCGACGATCATTTGTTCGGTCCTCGCCTCACATAGCTAAGACTAAGGCTGTTTCTTTGAGCGATGCTAAGCACGTTCCTATTCCGCGACCGAAGTCTAAGACTACGGCGCAAATTCCTGCCGATGCTACAACCGCTTCGGACCCACTTCGCGTTGCGAAAATTAACAAGCGCAAATTAAGGAAACAATCCTTCGCTTCGCTTCGTAAATACCTTTCCTCTGTCCCTGTTGATAACGACATTCAGGACACGATGACGCCAACTGATAACGTGGCGACTGCCCTCGACACTACTGGCAATGATGCGGTTGACGCGACGACGGAAGTTCCCAAAGCCAAAGCGCCTGGCACTTTGCCAGCGCATTTGGTTGAAACTTTACGACAGTCAGTGCCGAACCGCGTCGGCGCCTTGGAGCGTTCCCTGGAAGGAACGCACCAGGAGATGGCAGAACTGCGTGACGACATTATATCGTTACGAAATTCTTCACAGCGTGTGGAGACGCAACTCCAGGAGTTACTCTCCAAGCTGTCAACGCCCTCAAGCCCACCACCTCCCAATCCACGGTCCGTGGCCATTTGCAAGA